CCTCTTTCCGTCTTTCGGTGATCCAATGATCGATGTACACCTATCCCAGATGCAAGGGGTTGTTGGGCATGTCCCACAATCCACTACTACGACTGGTGGTGGTGATGGAGGGGGAAACAACGGTACTACGCCCCCATTGGATTACGGTGGATTCTCGCCTAATGGGAATAGGCAGGGAGCAAGTCGACGTCAGTTGAGCCTCACTGGTGGTGGAGGAGGACCTCCGGATGACCCACCCGACGATGAGGACGAGGACGACGACGACGAAGAGGATGAAGAAGACGAGGAAGAAGAAGAGGAAGAAGATGACAATCGGACACGGAGGAGACGAAGAAGATCGAGAGATGATCGAGAGATCAAGAACGATAGACCGAGGATCTCGAGGAAAGAGGCTGAGAGGGTATCCATTCCGGCTTGGCCAAAGATCCACCAACTTGATAACTGGAAGATGCAACTGCTGATGAATGTTCTGAGCGCATGTGCAGATCCGGATACCGATACATGGACGAAATGGTTGGAACAGGCTCTTGGGTTGAACCCAGACCTGAATGCGCTTAGCGATTCAGGTGGCGATAGATTTGCTACGATAGATATTAAGATGGCCATGGGCATGCAGAACATGTTGAAACAAGCACCTGACGAAGCCAAGGACGTGTACCTCGACGCAACGCGGCACTCGGAACTACGACATCAACAAGGGGTGATCGTGAAGGGACGAGAGCTGGTGGCATTGGTTATGCAATCATTCAGAACATCCGATAGAACGGATCTTGTCTACCACATCGAGCACCTATTCAACCTTGATTTTCCTGGAGACAAGAACTTGGTTATGTTCAGGAACAAATGGTATGATTTGCTGCTGAAGATGAGGAGCGAGGACAGACCCAGTAAACTGGCTCTCAGAGATATCCTTTACAGGAAGATCAAAGGGAGCAAGAAGATGGAATTCGGCCTCAATGCCTACCATAGACTACCGGACAAACATCCTCAAAAGACGTATGAATTCTTATTGGCGTTGATCGACCATCAGATCAAGGCGGATCGGGAGGACCTGATGCTTGACATGAAGGAGAGATCGGTCAAGTCAATGATGAAGTCAGGCGGCAAAGATGCGGCTCCAGCCACTGGCAAACAGGAGAACCAGGGTGGCAAGGGCAGCAAGGGGAAACTTGGAGGACCTGATGCTGCTCCTGTACTCCCAAAAGCCAAGGCAAAGGGCCACGCTGGCAAGAACGGCAAGTCCGACGGTGCCAGCGACAGAGGCAAGAGTCCGGGCGGAGGCAAAGATAATCCCTGTTGGTATCACTTCAAATCGGCGAAGGGATGCGTGAAAGGAAATGAATGCACGTTTTCCCACAGCAAGAAGACGGAGCATAAGTTGGAGAGCATGTCCAAGGGGAAAGGAAAGGGCAAATCCAAATCCAGATCATCGTCACCAAAGAGAGATGATGGAGCATGCTTCGCGTTCCAGAAGGGG